AAATGTTTTGTTGTATAATTGCAAATTATGTTCCCTTTGAAAGAACTTGTAAATATTTTTGGAAAGTAAAAAAAAAAAAAAATCTAGAGCCAGTGTGTGGTTTGTCCCTTCTGGGCTACTGAACCAGAAACATGGCCAACTTCATGGAAGTTGACCCATGGTGTCTGTATATAAAACTGCTCATTCTAAGGTAATAAAAACACAAAATTTCCTGTATTCAAGGGATTATGCACTAATGAAAATATCCCTATGAATATTATATTCCATTTCTGATAGATTCTCCTGAATGTTACACACTGGACCTTTAAACCTTTGAATTTGGAGAGGAATTCACTCTACATTAGTAACTGCCCATCATCCTTAGTCGACCCATCTTCCACAGTATAATGATTTATTTTTATATTGAATATTCTTCCAAATGTAGTAATTAATTGGTGAGAAATGATGTTTGTAAGTCACATCGAACATCATGCTTCACTAAATTAACTGTACTATTTATAGAAAAGATCACTCAGCCAATTTTCAGCCAATTTAGTCAGTTCCAGCATTATAAACATAATTTTAAACTTCATGTTAAAGAAGCTGTAATATAATTTGAATGTAAAGACCCCAAGACTGAATTTATTCTTAACATGATAATATTAACATAACAAATGTTGTTTTTCTAAAGGATTTACAATATTTTCTCTTTTCCTTAATGATTCATATGCATACAGTGTTGCGTAGTAATTGATTAGTTGTAATATGGATTCATAATTCACATAATCAGATTAGCCAACAAAAATTGAGTAACTATGATGAACCCAGATTACATTTTAAGATTTGTTTAATTAGATTATAGTTATACTTGATTACATTTTATTACATCTTTTAAGAACGATGGAACTTATTTTTGTTGATAACAATGCTCCATTAGCCACCTTAGCTCTATAGATCTTGATAGGGGAATGGGGTCAATCTCATGTTATTCCATGTGTCATACACATGCCCACAATTGAGGAACACTGGCTCTGATTGGTCAACAGACTCAACCCAAAGCATCATGGGATTACTAATGGATGGTTAACAACAACAATAGTTGGCAACAAAAATGGATCAGTAATCATATAATAAGATTAAATTGGTTCGTAATCCAGTGATTATGTTACTAATTATAAAAATTGTCATGTCATTTGTATTCAGTAATTGAGTACTTTTCAAAGTAATCTGACCCAACACTGCATGCTTATTATATATTTTACAAACTCGCTAAAATTTCATAAAAAGTAAAAGGAGTATACACATTTAGATATTATTACTATAATACTATAATGAAACACTTCAGTGAACCCTTATTGTTCTAATTTTATTTACATGTATCTTCTTTATTGTCCTTGTCCTTTTATAAAGACTGATTGATTTTAATTGATTTAAAATGTTTTACATACTATCAGTTTTATATTCATTAACAAGTCTTTTTGTGTGTGATTGTGTGTGCTTGTAGAATAGTATGATTCAGTTGTGGATACTTTCCCATACACAAATTCATCTTGTGCAAGTGCTGCAGTGGATGCATTTACTTCAGGAAGTTGTTGTCGCCCTCTTTCTTTGTCTAAATATTACACCAGTGGCAAACTTTAAGGTAAAACCTTACCTGGCTACTAACCTATATGGAGTTATTTGGTATGTTAGCATTATCTACAAGTGATCGCAAGGGCTCACAGTCTGTTACTACCAGAAATATCCTTTTCATTGTGATGAGAAAGGCTTCTCAAAAGAGGAAAGTGTTAACCCATGAAAAATCAACATTTTCATATAATTTAATTAACAATGCCATATAAGCGTGTCATTTAAACGTAACGTCCGATGTTCGAGCCGTAACCACAAAGCACGTGCGGGTTTGAAACAAATTTCCCCCCGGGATCAATAAAGTATTTATGATTTACCAGAGAGAGAGAGAGAGCGAGCGAGAGCGAGAGACAGAGACATGAGTGTGGAAAGATACTGCCCGTCATTAGGTTCACTTCCGGAAATTCTTTTACAAGTAAAGTCGTGTTAAATAAAAGATGACTACAGTGCTTTTAGTTTGTTAAGGAATTTTAAACTTGTGAAATGTGTGGATGTGAATACCAACAGATCCTTTTACTGCGCTCTGCCGCTGGGAGACGCGCGCGGCTCTCTAGTGAACGGTATATATCTATGGCTGCGTTTCATTAGTCGT